GAGTCTTATTCAATGCAGGATCTAGATCAGTATTATTTAAAAAGTGTTGAACAAAGTTTACCAAGACGGTCTTAACTGTATACCAATGATCCTTGTAGAAGCCTCCTGTAAATCCATCTACACCAGGGGATTTATCTGGATCCATTTGTTGGAGAGCTTGAAATTTTTCTTCTTCTGTAACTGGTCGAATCAGAGATTGATTCGTATCCTCTGTAACCCTTAGCTCCAAATTCTGAAAAAATCAAAAGAAAGTGGATCACATTGAGAAGTAAATAAATCTGCAAAATAATCCCTTATTATAGATTCAATATCTTCAGGATTAAAGAAGATTCTTCCTGCAGTATCCCTAAGAGATGTGATCCAATTATGAGATCGTCTTTCCTTTGTTTTGGCATGAAAATATTTAGTATTACGATCCCCTGCATGCAACCAAAGCATTTTACACTTAGCTCTCCAATACTCTTCCTCTAAACGATAAGCAATATTTAGTTGAGATTTCAGATAACCAATATAATGAAAATCCAACTGATAAGCCTCATAAGCAGCTTGGAGGAGACTTTTCAACTCAGATATTTTCTTCTGACTATTCGAAGTATTACTAGACTTCCACTGAGACAATTTTTTCCTGCACAACTCTAACTTATTACTCAACTTATTACTAGGATACTGATCTTCACAACCATTCTATATATTCCTTACCTCGTCCTTAACTACAAAGTTATATTTTCACCTATTATCAAATCGAAACAGTTTCTTCTTTCTCCAAGTTCCCATATCAGTATGCAATAATAAAGCCCTATGGTTAGAGCAATGCCAAGGAAGAACTTGTCCTCAAGCCGTGGGAAAAAGATCAAACCAATCCGATATGGCTACCACCCTATCAATCCTGGTCCTAACAGTATGATTATATCTATTGCCCACCCATGTAAACCAACCTCCATATGTTTTAACATCATGAAAGCCACATATTGCTAACATTTTCCAATATGATTTCTTTTCTTTTTTTTAAGAAATTGGCTTGATACATGGTTTTAACTTTTCATTGCTTAAGTGATATTTTTTATGAGGAAAAAATAAGTGATCATTTTTCAC